ACAACATTGTAAATGTTATAAGCTTTCTTATTTTCCTTCTCTGTATTTTCTTTGTTACTGTAAAGGAATCTCACTGACTTTTGTATATTGTTCTTGTATCCTACCACTCTACTAAATTGGTCTACTAGTTCTAACAGATTTGATGTGGTTTTTTGTTGTTGTGTTTGTTTTTGTTGTTGAGTCTTGGTGTTTTTTTGTGCATATTATCATATCATCTATATGTAGAGACAGTTTTCCATCTCTTGACCAATCTGGATAGCTATTATTTCCTTCTCTTGATGTATTGCCCTAGCAAGTACTTCCAATTCAATATTGAATAGGAGTGGTAAAAGTAAGCATCCTTGTCTGGTCCCTGTTTACAAGGAGAATCCTTTCAGTCTTTCTCCATTGAGAATGATATTGGCTCTTGGTTTTGCACATATTCTTTTCATAATGTTGAGCTACTATTTTGCTGTCTGTTTTAATCAGGAAGGGGTGTTGGATTTTGTCAAAGGCCTTATCTATAGCAGTTGCTAGGATCTTGTAGTTCTTGTTATTTACTTTGTTAATGTTATGAATTATATTGATTTTTTTCTTATGTTGAACCATCCTTGCATACCTTTTATGAATCCCACTTGGTCATGATGAATTTTTTTTTATGTGCTGTTGGTTTCTGTTGTTGTTGTTGTTGTTGTGTGCCATAGAATCACCTGAAACTCTAGTGACCCTATGTACAATAGCTCTGAACCCTGCCCTGTCATGGCCAGTCTCACTGATGCCAATACACCTACCCTCATTGCCCTAGTTACTATATCAATCCATCTCGTCTAAGGTCTTCCTCTCCTGCACTGTCCTTCAACATTCTGATCCTGATGTCCTTCTCCAAGGATTGGTCCCTCCTGGACACATGCCCAAAGCATGTGGCATGGAGCTTCAAAATCCTAGCCTCCAAAGAGAAACTTTGTTTCACCCTCTCAAAGACAGACCTATTTATTTTCTTGGTAGTCCATGGTATGTTCAAGACTCTTCTCCAGCACCACAATTAAAAGGCATCAGTTCTTCTTCTTTCATCCTTTGTCATTGTCCAGCCCTCTGATGCATAGCAAGTAATTGCAAAGACCATGGTCTGGATCAAGTGTACCTTAGTCTACAGACTGACATTGTTGTTTCTCAGTACTCTGGAAAGTTCCCTGATGGCAGATTTACCTAATGCAATTCATCTTTTGATTTTCTGACTGCTAGTGCCAAGAGTGTTAATTGTGGAGCCAAGCAAGCTGTAATTGTTAACAACTTCAATCTCTTCACCATCCCTCATGGTGCTGCCAATTGGTCCAGTGGTGAGAATCTTTGTCTTCTTGATGTTGAGCTTCAATCCATATTGAAGAACCTTGACTTTCTGCAGCAAGCACTTCAAGTCCTCCTCAGATGCAGCAAGCAAGATTGCATAACATAGGTTGTTGATGAGTCTTCCTCCAATTCTGATGCCACATTCTTCCTCATAAAGCCCAGCCTCCCAAATGGCTGTTCTGCATATAGATTGAAAGGTATGGAGACAGGACACATCCCTGGAATACTTCCTTCCTGATTTTGAACCATGCAGTGTTTCCCTGCTCTGTTCTGAGGACTGCTTCCTGGTCCAAATACAACTTTCACATAAGCACAATCAAGTGTTCTGGGATTCCCATACTCCTCAAGGTAAACCACAATTTGTTGTGATCCACACAGTCAAATGCCTTTGAATAGTCAATGAAACACAGATTTGTTTCTGCCAAGATCCATGACATCGGTGATAAAGTCTCTAATGTCACAGCCTCTTCTAGACCCAGCTTTTATTCCTGATAGTTCTCTATCAATGTACTGTTCCAGTCATTTCTGGATAGTCTTGAGCAGGATTTTTCTTGTGTGTGATATTGTACAATAGTTTCCACACTCTGCCAGGTCACCTTTTTTTGGAATGGGGATACATATGTATCTCTTCCAGTCAGTTGGCCAGGTAGTTGTCCTCCAGATTTCTTGGCACAACCTGGTGAGCACATTCAGGGAAGCATCTGTTTGTTGAAATATGTCAATTGGTATTCCATCAATTCCTGAAGCTTTTTTTTCCAAGTCCTTCAGAGCAGCCTGAACTTCCTCCTTCGTCACCATTGCCTCTTAATCATGTTATTTCTTGAAATTATTTTGTGTCAGCCAATTCTTTTTGGTAGTAACTCTATATAATACTTCCATCTCCTTTTAATACTTCCTGGATAATTCAATATTCTTCCCAAAGCATCGTTAAGTATTCCAACTATTGACCAGGATTTTGTTAAGGATTTTTGCAACTATGTTCATGAGAGATTGGTCTATAGTTTTATTTTTTTTGTAATACCTTTGCTTGGTTTTGGTATTATGGTTATGCTTGCTTCATAGAATGACTCTGGGAGTTTTCATTCTTTTTCCACTTCTAAAAAGAATTTAAGTAGAATTGGTGCTAAATCTTCTTTGGATATTTGGTAGAATTCAACTGTGAAGCTGTCTGGGACAGGACTTTTTGTGTGGAGGAGTCTTTTTATGACCTGCTCAATTTCTTCTTTTGTAATGGGTCTGTTCAAGTGTTCTACATCTGTCTCAGTCTGGTTAGGACATAAATTTCAAGGAATTCATTTCCTCTAGGCTTTAAAATTCATCAGAGTATAGCTTTTAATAATATTCTTATTTATTTAATTTCACCTGATTCTGTTGTGATGTCACCGCTATCATTTCTTAATCAAGTTATTTGTCTCTTCTCTCTCTTTTTTCCCCCCTTTTGTTATGTTTGCCAATGGTCTGTCAAAGCAGTGCAACTCCTTTTGCCAGCCACAGAGTCCTTTTCATTCTCTGGTTCCTTTGAGACTTAAAAATTAGAGGCTTCTGCTCTATCCCTAAATCAAATGCAACATCCAATCTGAAGACGATTTCTGGTTTACTCTCTCTTTTCTTCACAACTCAGCTCTTGTTGACCTCTGGCTTCCACCAAAATCAGCGATAGTTCTCTTTTAATTGTTTGTTGACTTGCACCATAATGTCCCTACCTTCTAGATTTTATTCCAGTCCAAACCATTTCTCTCCTTAAGTATGACAGTCTCAAGCTAACAGGTACTCAGAATTTTCTAGTGCCAGTCACTATTTGTTTATCAATGGTACCTCACAACTATCTGAGGAACTTCTTTTAGCACCCCCTACTAGATGAAGGAGCTCTGGTGGCCTAGTGGTAAAAAGGTCCACAGCAATCCTGAAGGTAGGCAGTGTGAATCCACCAGGTGCCATAAGGGAGAAAGATGGGCCATCTCCTCTAGTGCAATTAGCTGCCTCTGAAAACCCACTAGAGGGTCAGCTATGGATTTGTTCTGCCTTAACAGTATTCAACAACAACTAAGAGATGAGCCAACAGATTCAGAAAAGTTAACTGGCTTACACAAGGTCACACCCTATATCACATTACCGATGATCACACCCAGCCAGAGCCCACGGGATTATTCACCATGCTGCTTGCCTCCTAGTTCCCTCAGTCATTAAACCTTAGCTAGTCTGACCCTAGCTCATGCTCAGGCAGCCCTAAGTGTCCGGTAATGAACAGAGCTCCATCTTGGCCCTCACAGAGCTAATGGTCCTATGATCCTATATAAAGATATTGACTTGGACAAACACATTTGTTACCCATCACTGTTCTTGAGTTAATTCCAACCCATGAAGACTCTCCTTTGGGTTTCTGAGGCTATAAATCTTTACAGAAGGAAACAACTTCATTCTTTCCCTATGAAGCAGCTTATTGGTTGCCATCACTGAATCATCAGATTTTTATTTAAAAGCCCAGCATGTAAAACACTGTGTTACCAAGGCTCTTTCTGTAATTGAAATTGTTGCTTTGGAGCAGATTGTCCCATCACTACATTGCTTGGAATAGTAATTACAGAAGTGATTTAATTATAATAGTGATCACAATTAAACATTTTAAACCAGGCATGTACAATTTTTATTCCCATTTGGCAGATGGAAAAATTGAGGCTCAGAACCCTCTAACTGTACATCACCATGTTCTGATGTCTTCTCCCTGGAGAGCTGGCATGAACCCTCCTTAGAGAAGCACAGGCAGGTGACAGGTGCTCACCTCTTCCATCTTAACTTTCACCCAGGTCCCGGACCTATTCTGGCTTCCCTGCTGGGTCTGTATTTCCAGGCCTTAATTCTGCTTTACTTTTCACTAGACACAATCTTCTACACTAAACTCCATCTCAATCTGTGTATTATTTAATTCTCAACAAAAACTTAGTGAGAGAGTTACTGTTACCTGCAATTTACAATAGACACTGATAGAGGAGATTGTTTCTCCATGGTTAAAACAGCTAGTCACTGTGTGAGCCAATATTTGAACTTTTGTGCACTGGGCAGTGGTGATGTCTTTGGAAAATGAAGGCCCATCCGAACAGGGAGAGAAACCCTACTTTTCTTCCTCACCCTTCCACCAAGAACTGTGAATGAGGTCATCACTCTTCTAGTTGGTGTGGGAAGGACATGAGACTGGGGAGGGGTGTGACTTCACTCACTTTCTCTGTTGCAGAGCTGAAGGAGAGCCCCACTGTACCTAGCCTGGAGACTACCTCCTCCAGCAGGGAGAAGCACCTGATGTCTGAAGGTGAGCCAGTGTCATCTCTCTTGATGAAGATGTTTAGAACGAATGAGCCTTGGGTTGGAAGAGTGCTTTAGCCCAGTGTCCTCAGGACTGCGTGTGTTCCTCAAACCGCCTTGGGAGAGATAGAAAGGATTGCCCCCAATTTAAAGACGAGGATGCTGAGGCTCAGAGAGGTAAAGGTCACACAGCTGGTCAGCGACAGAAGTGGATCTGTGCTTACTCCTTCCAATTCCCAACAAAGGGGACAGTTTAGGATCCCACTCTTTCCAGAATCCTGCAGCAGCATCCTGGGAAAATAAACTTGATGTCCTATTTTTTAAGTGACGAAGGTGGATTTAAAGCCACTATGGCTCGCACAGGTGACTTTCTACAAGAAACCAGGATCCTACCACTTAGGGAACTTATTGAACAATGTCTTACATGTGTATCTGCACATTCCTCCTAGGTCAGAATCAGCCTACCAGCAGAATGGTGAGCTCTGACCTCCAGGGTACAGGCATAGAGACAAGCCCCACCTCTCTCTGAACTTCTGTATTTCCCCAGTGAGCAGGGCCACCATCTGTCAGGGCTCAGTCCTGTCACTCTGTGACTCTCCAGGTCCCCTTCGCAGTCTCACCACCAACACCCTATCTTCTATGAAGACTTCTGAGATTCTCTTTGGAACCAAGTAAGTGGGATTTCCAATGAGGGTGCACTCAACATCACTCATTTCCCTTGGGTTATTTATGGGTTGGAGGGCCAAAGACAAGTTTAGCCTTGTTGTTGTTGTTGTTGTTGTTGTTGTTATGAGCCATCTAGTCAACTATGACTTACAGCTATTCTATGAATAATGGCTCTGAACCTGGCCCTTTCCTGAGTCAACTTCACCATCTCAGACACACCTGACCTCATTGCCACAGTCACTATGTCAATCCATCTCACTCACCCGAGATCTTTATCTCCTGTGCTGACCCTCCACCCTTCCAAGCATGATGTCCTTCTCCAAGGACCAGTCCCTACTGGTAAAATGGCCGAAGCATGTGAGATGAAGCTTCAAAATCCTTGCTGCCAAGGACCAAACTCTTTGTTTCTACATGTGGATACAAGAAGCAATTGGGTGCAATTAGAAGGGTACTAAGGAGACCCCTTACCCAGAGATATCCCTGTCTGTCTGCCAGATGTCACAGAGCCTAACAGTGCAAACTGTAGTTTATCTCCCTAGCCTCTGTGGTCTCGTTTCACATGCAGATAGCCAGCGAGCACAGGCATGGGACTCTTCTGACCCTGAGCTCCAAAAAACGTCATTAGTGGTTGTACATGATTGGTATAGTTGATGGCACTAAAGTGTACACGTATATCTTTTACAACAATTTTAAAATGAGAGAGTAATAAAAAGAACAGAAACATGGCATCTAGCCCAAGCTGCTGCCAACTCATTCACGGAGTGGCTCTGGGCAAATGCCTCCCCCCTTACTCTACACCTCAGTCTCCCCAGCTGCTGAGGTTGGAAGAAGTCATCTGTCAGGTCTCTTCTGCTCTTGACCTCTAGAGGCTGATGGTTAGGCGATAGGCAGAACTAATGGCAGGATGACTGGGGACGCCCTGGGGATAGCTGTGACCACTTTTCCCCACACACAGACTGCATCTCAACAAGTCCAGGCTGCTGAAACGAGCAGCCAGGGGTTTCCTGGGAAAACCACTGAACAAGATTCCAGAGCCAACCTCAGGGAGCCAGAACCTTGACTACCTGCCATTGGTGAGTATGGAGACCCTCCCCTCAGCCCCCAGCCCCCACTTACAGAAATGAGACCTTCCTGGAGCCCTCTCTTAGCTACCTCTCCTCCCCTCCAAAGGGAAGAAGACCTTGATCTTAAGACCCCCGAGTTCTGAAATGTCCTATACCTTTCCACCTGAGTAGCCAAAAGCACAGAGAGAGTTTGTAGGTGATCCTCCACCCCCAGAGATCTAGGGATGTTATTACAAGCTGGTGCCTGCATCACAAACACTCCTTGCAATCTGCTGTCTTCACTTTAAAAATTCACACGAACTTCGCCTTTTACTCCACCATCCATCTCTGTGTCTAGTTTTCAATTTATAAAAATAAACCTTAAAATGACTCACAGGGGAGTAAAATTAACACCCCAGGGACATGCACCATGTGTAGCACGTGTCTCTGCAGATGCCCCACCCTGTTGTGGCAGGGCAAGAAGCCAGGTCTGGAGTGAGATGCTCTCAACGAGGAAGCAAGGGAACCTCACTGTGCCATGCCTGGAGTCCAGCAGGGCTCGGTCCCAGGAGTTCTTGGAGGAAGGCTATAGTTTTAGTTTCTCAGCATCCTTTCACATTTCCAAATATCCAGGGAAACAGAACAAAGCACATTCATCCACACTCACAGTATTTATTTAGCAGACACCAGCCCCTAGGGGAACCACCTTGAACTCAATATAACCTTGCTGTCATGATGCTAAGCATCTAGTGGGGACACAGAGAAGAAGCCAGGCCATCGTTATCCTTGAGATGTGATAGCAGAGGTCAGATTGATGAAGCAGAGTAGGGGGTTGATATATGTCTATCTATGCCAGGCTTGAGATGGGGGAGGAATCCAGCGTAACTTCTTAAGGAGGTCCTGGTTAAACCAAGACTTGAAGGATGAGGACTTATATCCCAGAGTCTAGTCAGGAGGGAGAGAAGAGGGGGAGCTGGCTAGCTGTAGAACAGAGTTTAAGGGAATAAGTGATGAGAATGAATCAAGACTAGATCATTGCAGAGCTCTCCACACGTCATATTTTAGTTATTTTAGGAGGGAAAAGGAAGCTGTTAAACTTCTTCAACTAAAATAGCAAGAGGATCAATGCTTTACAAAGACCCCTCTGGATGTAGGAAGAGTGTGTTGGGTAGGAAGGAGAAAGTAGAGGCCAGGACAGCATGAGGAGACAGGTGGTGAGTTCCAGAGCTCTTTAGAAATAGACCTGATGGGGATTGAATGGTGAAGGAACAGAGAGAGAAGGCATTGTCCCGAGAGTGTGCCGGACAGTGTAGATGGTCCCATGGCCAAACTGGGTCCTGATGATGAGAAAGGGTTTGCCATGAAGATGGTGACCTGCAGAGCGTGGAGTGTGAAGCATCCTGGAGATGCTCAGGTGGTTTTCAGTCAACAGTTCCACACCTCTCCCAGGGATGGAAAGAGACGTGAATCCAGACTGTCATGTGGTCTGGAGCTCCAAGGGTACACTAGGGTCTTTTGCACTTGTCCCAAGGGTGAAAATGTTTGGGACTCACCGAGAGGCTCTCCTACACACAGGTGTCTCTGCAGCTGGCTTCTGGAGCCTTCCTGCTCAATCAAGCCTTCTGCAAGGCCACTCAGGTCCCCATGGAGAAGCTCAAGTGGTCGTCACCCTTCACCTGCCACCGAGTGTCCCTTACCACCCGCCATCCTGAACCCAAGACTTCAAGTCCTCAGCTCAACACCAGGCCCTCACCTCAGCCCCTGCCCTGTGATAGTTTCTCCTCAGAGACGACTACCGAGGGCAAGTCAGGCTTGGAGCAGAAGGCCGAGGTGGAGCTCACGGGGAAGCTGTGGGCCACCGTGGTGGCACTGGCCTGGCTTGAGCACAGCTCGGCCGCCTACTTCATTGAGTGGGAGCTGGTAGCTGCCAAGGCCAACTCGTGGCTGGAGCAGCAGAAGGAGGTGCCTGAAGGCCTCACGCAGGGCACACTCAAGGCCGCTGCCCGCCAGCTCTTTGTGCTCCTGCGACACTGGGACGAGAAGCTCGAGTTCAACATGCTCTGCTATAACCCCAATGACGTATAATAGGGCCAAAGGGGAAGCTGGGAAAAGGGAGGGTTGGAGGAGGCTAGTGGGGGAACTTGTGAAGATGTAGCTAATATATTGTTGCTAGAAAGAGCCTTGAACTGCCACTCAGGAGGCCTGAGTTCAATCCCAACTTCACCACCACCCAGCTGTGCAATTGTAGGCCAGTCTCTGCCCATTGTCTAGGCCTCAGTTTGCTGATCTATAAAATAAGAGAATGAGGTGGGGAGCTGGACTAGATCACTAGAAAGTTCAAACGTTTCTTATTCAAGATGTTTATGTTATTAAAGCCCTAGATTTGCTAGAGCTGGGATGTAAGGAGAGAGAATGTATATGAAACCTGAACTCTCTCTGGCGGTAAATCAAATGGGTGTGGAGTGGAAACGGCATTGTCTCCCTCAAAAACTGATGAGATGAGAGGACCCAGAGACTACAAGTAACCAGACCGACAGGCTTGCCTCTAGGCCCGCAGAGACCATTTCTGACCGTTGCATTGTGGGATATGCACTTGTCTCCATGGTGACAGAGCAGGACCCCTAAATCCCACTTACAAACCAATTAGAGAACATGCAACACTTTACAAAGCACTCACAAGAGAGCTTTTTGATTTTATTTTTTGCCTTGGGAGCTCCCTTAGTGCATTCTAATGTTTGTTTGCAGATGATTTGTGACTTCCTAGCTAAGAAAGAAAGGTGGGCAGGCTCAAGTGTTATGTTTAAGCTGCATTCTTGGGGGACAAAGGAGTCTCAAAATGCTATAGTCACAAAGTCAGTGAAGAAAAGAGACTTGACTTTTAATTATATGTACACTTTCAGGAACTGGGTAACCCAAGCTCTAGCCATTTATGCATAGAGGCTAGAGAGGTACCTTGAGGTGAATTGCATGCTGGGATAGTGGCAGCTTTCTCTGGCCACACCATGTTGAGAGATGATATGGCTGCCTTACCAACAGAGGACACTTTTGGCTACAATGCATTTTGGAAGATGTGACTTGCTAGGTGAAATGACGGAGTTTTTGAAGCTTCAATGCATAGCCTCTCAAGCCCACTATGTAATATTTGGGTGGTGACTGGTAGGTCCAGCCCCTGAGTCCTCTCCGGGCTACTCTCAAACTGCTCAGAGTCTAAATCTCACCCTAGAACTCCACCAGTTCAGGTCCCAGGCTGAGCCCACAGGCCTGTGCATCTCTCTTTCCAACATCTTAGCCTCTCCTCACCAAATTATTGTTCCAGAAGAGGTTGACTCAGACTCCAAGACCCTGGCACAAAGCCCCTCAGACATTCTCACTTCAGGGAGACACAAGCCACAGCCTCGTGATGATTAAGGAAATGCTCCAGTCAGGGGCAAAAGTTAGAGAGGATGTGGGCTCCAGCAGAACACCCACTGGTTATGAAGAATGAAGAAATGGCAGCACCCACAGGATGCACACACACACCCTACTCCCCAGCCCTCGCCCCGCCATCTCCTTGACCTCTTGCCAGGTCACGTAATCACCCAGGGGGCTGTCGCTGTGTAACAAGCACTTCTGAGTCTTTCACAAACAGCTGGTAATCCATCCCAAAGGAACAAGACCAAAGACAGATTAAATCCCTCTGCTGCCTCCCTAACTGGCTGTTCTTGAGACTTGTCCTCTTGGGAGGAACCTTACCTGGAAGTTCCTGATACTGAAGGCCTCAGGGACCCAAGCAATGCAGTGTGCCAGTCTGAGGTGCTGGCTCCTAGGCAGTGCCAGGGCATGGGACAATGTCGGTGGGGCCTCTTGGCTGAAAGATTTTAGTCCAGGAGTGGGAAGTGCCTTGTCACCTCCCTGCACAGTGCTGTCCTGCAGCCAGCAAGCCCACCTTCAGGGTAAGGACAGAGAAGACAGCATCCACTTCTTGGCCCACCATCAAAGGAAAAATCATCTGGCTGCGAGTCGGAAAGCCTGAATTGAGGGTCAGCTCCAGCAGGAATTTGGGATGCCCTGGAGCCGAGGGCCTTCCTCGAGGCCTGACGTTCTGTGATGCTTTTCCTTGGTGACACTGAATTTGTTCTAGCTCTCTATGTGACCTTGAACAAGTCACTTGTCCACTCTGGGCTTCTCTCTTCTCTCAGGACTAGCTTGTACTGGCTAGTCCCCCTGCCCATAAACCTAGATTCTAGGTCTCCAGGCCTCAGTGTGGACAGTGACTGGGTCTCCAGGGGCCCCAGAACTTGCAGGTGTGGATGTAGCAAACAGAGCCAGGCTGATGCAGCAGGAAAGGAGTAAGGGAGAACCAGCCAGGAGGCAGGTAGACTGCCCTCTTCTCCAGGAAGCATCTCAGCCCTTGCCCTGGGGCACGTTAGAGCCCCAGCAGGTTACAAATCTACTGATAGGTGCTATTGGCCCCACTGTCCAGCTCCCTAACCAGCAAAAGAACAAGTCTCACTGCAATTCAAGAGCTTTGGGGGAAACTCTGGACAAGAAACACTTTTTAAAAAGCCTTTCAGTGGCATTAAGATGACACATACATAACCTTGGGAACCTGCTACCAGAATTGTCAAGCAATCTGACTTAGTTTTGGTTAACTTGCTAAACCAGTCCTTCTTTTCTAGACCACACAAAAGGATGTGCTAGTCCCTGTGCTGTGAGGAGCTGAGGGTCCTTACCACACCAAGCCCACTGCTGTTAGTGGACTCGGACCTTACTGGCCCTGCAGGACAGAGAACAGCGATCCCGCATGGCTTCTAAGACTGCACATCTTTATGGAAGTTGACTGCCCCATCTCTTTCCCAAGGAGTGGCTTGTGGATTCAAGCAACCAATCTTTTGGTTTGCAGCTCAGTGCCCTGGCAGCACAATCGTTAAACACCCAGCCACTAGCTGGAAGGCTGGCTGTTTGATCAAACGCAGCAGCTCTATGGGAGAAAGGCTTCGTTGTCATCTGCTTTCTGTAAAGATTCCAGCCTTGGAAGCTCTCAGAGCGGTTCCACTCAGTCCCGTGAGGTCTCTTAGAAATTGATATGGCAGCGCCTAAACTGCCAGGTGGTATAAACAGGTGGTTTGAATGTACGCGGTGTCTCCTCAAAACAAAGAACTGGCAGTCTACTTCTGAAAGACGGTGCTGAAAACCTTGCGGGGTGCAGTTCCACTCTGAAACACATGGGGTCCATGGACCCAAGGGCAGCTAGTGTGATTTTTGTGGTTTTGGATTTTTCATCTGAAGAATTAATTACTCAGAACTCACACCCATTGAATGGATTCATACTCACAGCAACCCCTCAGGAAGCAGCCTGACATGCAGTGACTTTTTGGTTAGCAAATTCTACCACTGTCCCAGCTCCCCCAGCAGCAAGCTGTGTGATTTAGGCAAGGTGCTCACCTTCTCTGGGCTCCCAGCAAACTTTTTCTAGAATGCAGATTTTCTCTAGATTTGAGTTTCTAAAACTCTGTCCCTCAGGTGAGAGGCAAATAAGCAAGTTGTGAATAAATTCATCTCGGGAAACACCAGGACAAGAAGTTCCTTTGAGTCAGGATGACTCAGACCCATCAATATGTTTAAGTGCATTATCAGTTCCTAATCAGATGACTCAGCACATAGCCCTTCCAGGTTACTTGCAAGGGGAAGTGCTAGATGAGGTCTCCCTGAGGGTTCTTCCAGCACTGACATTCAGAGAGCCTTTACTGCTTGCCCTCTGTGTGCCAGGCTCTGCCCCTGACCTTCAGAGCTTGGTGAGAAGCATTATGGGAAGTTCTGGTCCACAAAGTACTTCTGCCCCGGGGGTCTTCTGGGTGGTTTAGGCTGAACTGATTAGGCTTCCACCCCACTTCGTGGTCCTTCCATCTGTGTATGTGACCTCAGATGAATGCTTGATGTTATTAGCACTAAGGGTCGGCTCCCTGGGCTTTCAGACAAGCATTTCTGGTTTGGATACAGCTTAGCTAGAATGGAGGTGGTGCAGTAAGAGTAGCAAAAGCTCCTGCTGCTCACAGGCTTTCTTGTCACAGGGGAAGCAAGGTAGTCTCTGTCACAATGTGCCTCCAAAGGCCCCTTCCCTGAGGAACCAACTTCACACTCCCGAAAACCTGGGATGGGTTTAACCAGACTTGTAAATAGGCAGCATCTGCTCTCAGCCTGTTTCCACTACTGCCTGCCCCCTACCTGTGGGCCACAGAAACACCATCCACTGCCTCCATCTGCCTGAGCTGGCACTTGCTGGGACTGATGAATGGAGGAGCTCTTCCCAGGGCTCTCCTGGGGAGACAGAACCTGCTCTTTAGACATTTGTGAAAGCATCGGTTCCTCCTCCTCCCTTCCAGCTGCTTCCACCTGCAACAGCTGTTGGAAACAGCTTCCAGAAGTTTCATTTAAATCCTGCCTTGTTCACATTAGCCCCTGCCCTTATCTGGGCACAAATGTTCCTCCTCTCTTTGCTACTGGTCAGCTTCTTTCCTCCTCAGCAGGGTCTCCTGGTTGAAGGAAAGGAAAGATAGCTCCCCACCAATGTGTAGACCACCCTAGAGACTGTCCACTCTGTCTGCTCACGTGGCTGGTACCTGCCTGAAATCCTAGCACCTGCCTCTTACTACTAGCATATTGGACTTTCTATCAGTGCTCCTGGTTCACAAATGCCTTCTGCCTCCTTTGTGCCCCAGCAAAGGAAAGGGGAGAGCATTGCACCCTGGGGATAAGGCATAAGCTCATTGCCACAGTATTTGGAAGATCGTGAGTTTTATTCACCGGGGACTAGAGAAGCCAGCAGGGAACATGGGTGCATTCTTCAGCTGTAACATAGCCCACTCCACAGTGCCAGAGTAAAAATAACCAGGGCAGGGGCGTGTGTGGCATTTTGCAGCTGGATAATCTAATCCACAGAGCTCTGTCCTGAGGCCAGAAACTTGGCAGCTCCTGGCCAAGCCCACAGCCCCCCGACTGTGGCTCCATGACCTCCCTGTCCACTCTGGCCCTCAGCCCTTTGACTGGCCTCCAACAGCACTGCCTCCCCAGTAACCTGACAAAGCAGGATTTCTCCTGTTCATGCT